TTTAATCTACTTTTGCTAGATTATTTGTGAAGTTTATTAGTATTTTGTATTTTATTTTTTACAACTTGCTTATCTAACTTTGTTCGTTTTCCTCCCTGGGATGTTTGGGAGGGGCTCCTTTTAAATTCCTTTCCTTTGATTTGTTTGTAATTAATCCTGCCTATCTCTGAAGAAAAGGCTCACTAAACATATTTGCAGGATATTGACTATGAAAAATGTCTTTAGGTTTTATATCACATTAATTTTTTTTATAGGAACATATAAACCTCGGGTCCGATGTTATGATACCTATCAATTATCCTTGAAGTTTGAAAGGTGTTTAGATTCAGAAGGTAAGTAAGAGCTAAACTTAAACTAATGGAAATAGCTTTTATATTTGTCTTCTGGGTTTAAGTTGGGAATAGTGTGTAATTAGTTTTCTATTGATATGTAACAAATTACTGTACTACAATCATGGTGGCTTAAAATATCCACGTAATAGCTCACACTTCTGTAACTCTTGCTACAGGAGCTGTGCTCAGCGCTAAAGTCAGGGTGTTGGCCAGGGTGAGCTCTTATCTAGAGATGCTGATCAAGAATCTATTAATACTTCCACACTCGCTCAGGGTGTTGGCAGAATTCAGTTTGTTGTGGTTGTAGGACTGGCATCCCCATTTCCTGCTGGCTGTCAGCGGGGGCCACTTGTAGCTCTAGAGGCTGCATGCATTTCTCATCACATCCGTCTTGTGCTTCGAATCTCTCTTACTTCCCCTGGAGAAAACTCTGCTTTCAGAGGGCTCATATGATTATAAATCTCCCCTTTGCCATATAATGTGATATAATCATGGGAGTGGTATCTCATCAATTCACGAGTGCCACACACACTCTCAAGAAGGGAGGTTGTATGGGGTAAAGGTCACTGGGGTAATTCTTAGATGCTGGCACTGAGGGCAGGTTAAAATGGGAAAGTTCAAGTACTTTATCAGTTGGCCTAGTGTTTGGGATTGAAGGAAAAGAAGTTAATGGGATATGTGTTCTATGAAATTATATATGCATATTCTCCTATTTCACCCCTTTGTTTTGTGAAAACAACAGAAACTCTGTGTGTCACTCATAATAGCCATTTTCACTCTTTATTTTTGTTTAGAAAGTTTGTTTAGAAAGTTTGTTTAGAAAGTAAACTATGAATGGATAAAAAGTGACTTTTTTTAAGCAACAATTTTGTAATGTTCTTTAATGTTTGAAAATTGTAAAAATTGTTTTGAACATCTCAGAAAAATAGTGGCAAAAGTTAGAAATCATTATATTTTGTGAATTTGCTTCAGTTCTATGAGAAATCTAGTTGATGTATGTTGAGAAATTGTAAAGCTTTTAATTTTTCATTTGGTGTTTTGGGGATAATATGACAATTTTATTCTTTTTAAAAAAATTAATTGGGAAAGTGTTAATAAGCATTCAAGTATACTTTACATTGATAATTGCAATACTGAAATTATGAAATATTAAATATTTTTCTCAAAAAAGGTTAGTGATTTTTTTTCTTCTGGGAAACATGGAGACCCAACTGTGAGCATTAATGCAACCAGTCAAGGTCACTAATGTTTAGTTAATACGATATCTAAATAAGTCTTCACATTTCATGTCAGTAAGGTAGATTGTGAACTTCTTGTATCTCTGAATTTCAGCAAAAAATTTTGTGAGATTATTTACAGGAATGTCAAATTTTGAAGTACAAACTCATAAACTATATATTTGGATCACAGCAATTTTATTCTTGTTTTACATAGAGGCAGAAAAGAAAAACTGGTATTTGTGTATAATTTCTGTGTTGAATTAGAATCTTTGCATTGTTTGCATTTTTATTAAGAACATTGGTATTCTTATTTTTTCCTACTATTTCTTGTTTTTCAGTTGTCACCTTTGAAATTCTGTCTGATGACTACTCAAAGGTATGTTCCATAGTATTGGTTTTTACTGGCTACACCCAAGAAATGAGTGAATGGAATTTATATTCGTGATAAGCAGTTTTATGATGTTCCCATTGTTAAATTAAAAATGGCTGTGTAGTAAAATATAACCCATCATTTTCTATTAAAATATTAATATTTTTAGTTTGGTACATGTATGATTTTAAAACAATAGTGATATAGATAGCCTTTGGCCAGTCTCATCTAATCCCAAAATTAGTTTTCCGTATCACGTATAAAACTTTATTTATGTTTTCAAGAATTGGAGGCAGTCATCTTTTTTTTTTTTTGAGACGGAGTCTCGCTTTGGCACCCTTGGTAGAATGCAGTGGTGTCATTATAGCTCACTGCAACCTCAAACTCCTAGGCTCAAGTGATCTTCTTATCTCAGCCTCCCAATTAACTGGGACTACAGGTGCGTGTGTCCCAACACCTAGCTAATTTTTCTATTTTTTGTAATATGGGGTGTCGCTATGTTGCCCAGGCTGGTCTTAAACTCTTGGCCTCAAGCAGTCCTCCCACTTCAGCCTCCCAGTGCTAGGATTACAGCCAGGAGCTGCTGTGCCCAGCCTGTTTAATTTTCTTAACCCTGCAAGGGGTTATGGCATATTTTGAATCAGTTCAAATTACAGCTAAATAGATATGTTTTCTTGGTGTCATTAGTTCGTCTTTCAACTTTTACGGTTGTTTTCAGCAGTTATAAAATTGTCAGTAAAGTCTTTATTCAATTTAAAATGAAAAATTTTTTAGTGCTGTCAAGTATCTTCTCTGACAGGAAGGAAAATTGAATTTTCTTAGCTAACATGGCTTTATATATTGTCTTCAGTTTTGGAAACTATGGGTTACAGTTTATCGTTTTGCCTATGGTAGTCATTTATCATGTGTTTGGGGACAATGTAATTTTAGAATGTATTTTCTCTAAATATTGATAAATTTGCCTTTAAATATCATCTGTAGAT